AAAATAAGTTATGACAGCCCTAAAACTCACAAAATTGGTCCTGAAATCAGTCAAGGAAGCATACAATGAAAGGCCCCCTCAAAAGGCCTTGAATGGAATTGTTGTACACATCCACTATAGACATAAAATATGATCAAAAGGGCCCCGGACAGACCTAAGGCAGACCTTAAAACCCACAAAATTGGACCCAAAAAGTGACTTCAATGCATGCAAAATAGAGCCCCTTTGGAAAGCCAATGATGCTAGTAAAGAAAATGAGGGGTGAGAGGGTCGCCCCTCTATGATTTCAAAGCTCAAAACCTCATCAAAGCCACTAAAAATCCCCTGAATTTCAGTGGCTAAGAGGCCAAACTAGTTCAATGCAAATGCTCTAATGCATAGCCCTAAATATGAAGGAATGAAGCATGCAAGGAAGGAGATGACTCCAAACAGAAAAGTGACCTCATGAAAACTTAAAGAGGAGGTCAAAAAAAGGCTTTTTCCAGTTTATAACAAATCTCTAAAATGTTCACAAGTAAGGCCAAAGTATGATGCAAAAAAAGCCCTAAAAAAAAGATAAAGGGTAAGGGAAAGTAGACGACCTCAAACAGCAAAGTTCCCTTAAACAAAGTTGAAGAGGAGCCCAAAATATGACACTTTCTAGTTTATGACAAAGCCCAGAAACACTTGAAAGTGAAGCTAAGTAATGAAGCAAAAAAATGCAAGTTTAAGGGATTTAGACACTTACCCTTGAAGAGTCGACCTCTAGCAGCTTTTGGACCAAGTTGGTGAGCTTTTAACCTCTGCAAATGACTTCCAAGGTGCTGGAATAAATGATGGAGGTGTGGTGCTAAGGGTTGTAGTGCAAATGGACCAAGAAAATTAGGATTTTAGAGCTTGGAATAGTGATAATGGAGGAGGGAGGTTGTAAGCTTTAAGCAAAAAAAATGTTCAACCCCTGATATGAAGAGGAGGGCCTCTCTTATAGAGAAGAGAGGCCAAAGCTTCTCTTGGAAGCTTCAAAGATCCTCTATACACGTGTATGGAGGATGCACCAAATGCCCCCTAGCTGGCACAGCTGTAAAGCATTCAGAGAGGGCAAAAAGCAAGAAGCATGCCGGCCAGTTCAAGTGGCCGGCCGACCACTCCCCCTGGTCAGCCGACCAGGGGTCAAAAGGTTCAAGCAAAATTGCTGGTCGGCCTACCCAGAAAGGTGGCCTCCCAGATGAGTAGAACAGAGCTATGTAGAGAAAAACTACCTTTTAAGCAAGGTTCAAAAGGGTCAAGATGAATTTCTGGCCGGCCTACCCATATTGGTGGCCTCCCAGATGAGCACAACATAATGGTGGTTTGAAAAGTTAGAAAATGTGGCTCAAAAGTGAGAAATACCTGCTTTCTATCAGAAAAATCGGCTTTTGGAGAGAGAAAATGAGAAAACAGGCTTTTCAGGGGAAGAGGTGGCCAGCCACCATCCTACCACCTCCCTAACAATGAAAATAGGGTCTCTACCAAAAATGGACCAAAACGGATGCAAAACGAAGGTTCGGGGGCCAAAACGTGCGGTTCAGGGCCCCAGAAACAGGCTGTTAGGCACCGGAAGTGTTGTATGACCACAAAGGTGGTCTCCCGGGCCACAGTGTTCCTATGAAGGAAGGAAATAAGATGTGTGCCAAAAACCGGAGCAAACGGAGGTAGTTAAGCGGTCCCGAACCGAGGCACACGGCCGACAGCTCCGAAAACCGAAAATCGGGCTCCAAATGGGAAAAATGGCCTACGGCCATGAAACGTAGCCTACGGCTACTGAGAGATGATCTACGAGATCTCTCCCTCCCTTCGGGAAGAGAAAACAGAGAAAATAGAACCCGATTCGCAAACCGAGGCAAGGCACAAAAGAGCTCCGAAGTCTGGAGGCAAGTCTCGCAGCCGAGACTCCGCAAGTTCAGAACGAGCACAATATGCAACATCACCGAGCGCTCAGTTGGTGACGTCTGAGTCTTAAGGTCGGTCAAAAATGGGGTGTCTACACCATTGCGCCGCCTCGGGAAGTGAAAGATGCACATGCTCAGTTTTGGCCCAAAAATGCCTTTGTTTTGCTCTTGGAAGCCTCTGTTTGCAGAGTTGAACATTTCCAGAACCTTTCTACTCCATCTTACCAAAATTCTTCTGAAGTTTACATTAGTGGTCTGTCGGTCATGGATGAATGCTACCCAGCCATTTGCCGGCCAAAAAGGTGGTCTGCCGGCCATTTATGGTGCATTGCTGGCCACTAATGCATTGGTTCACCATGCTGCAACAGAGTACAAATAGAGCAAAAAGAAAGTTTTTCCAAGGATTGTCTGTACAATTCACCTTTCATTTTCATGGACAAATCTAATGAATTGTGAACTTAAACCACAAACCACCAATCAAATCAATTTCATTGCATGATGGCTTGTGCTTCAAGGTGTGCAAGCTTAATAAATGCAAAGCCAAACACTCAAGAATCATCACCCTATCATGCATGATCAAGGGCAATGAAGACCTAGGAAAGTGGCACATTTCATCATTTTTGAGTATGAAATTTCCCATTTTCCTTATGCTCAAACTAACGCCCGATTCGAACACATGCAATGCAACACAAAGAAATGTTTATCTTGCCGCTTTTACTTATGAATTTGTTTACACATTTTAGTTACCAACCATTCTTTAATCACATTAAGTCCAAATGGTGAATTAAGTCCTCTAAATGGAAAGAAAGTCCAAACCAAAGGTTGTTTTAGGCATGAAAGAGACCTCAGGCCGTTGGTAATGAACCCCCAAAGGGATTAAACCATTAAACACAAAACCTCAATTTCATGTTTTAAACAAGCAAATGGTTTGAACCACTTTCAAAGAAAAAATAAAACCAAGAAAAGAGGAAGGTTGCAGAAATAATTAAGTGCTGAAAATGAGTGATAAAAGCATAAACCAAGGCTATCAAATCAAACAAGGTGTTTAGAACCTAAAACACCAAGCTTATAAGGACTATTGCACTACAACCATGCAAAACAAGACTCAACAGACCCAAACAGTCCAAAACAGAGCTAAAGCAGGCTATTTTAGAGACAAAAACATGCTGGAATTGAGCTAAGCTAAGCTAAGCTAAAAAAACATGCTAACATATGAACTTAACTAAACTAGCAAACAAGACACAAGGAGCGGAGGTTAACCTCTCCAATTTTGGACTTCAAAACGAGTTTTTTACCACTGAAAAACCTCTGAAATTCAGTGGTTAAAGGCCAAAAATAAGCAGTTTTATAATGGGAAACAAAAGTGCAAAGGCCTTAACGACAAGGAATGAAGAGGGATGAACCACCTTCTAACCTTTAATGGCCCAAAACACCAATTTCAGCCCATGAAAATAAAGTTTTTTATAGCTTAAAATCAGCCCATAATAGTAGGAAAAAGATGAAAAACAAGTAAGCAAAGCAAGCTTAAAAGGCTAGTATTATACCTCTTGAAGAGAAGAGTGGTTCAAAGCAACAATTCAAGCCAAAAACAACTTGTAGAGCTCCAAGAAGGCCTCAAACAACCTCAGCTCAAAGGTGATCACTTTTGGTTAAGGGTTGATGTGCAAAAGTGTAATGTAAATAGGCAAAGGTGTAGAGAAATACAAGAGAGAGAGAAATCTAGAGAGGGAGAAAATTTTGAGTCTTAAATCTTCTAACCTTAAAATATGAGAGAGGGCCTCCCTATATATAGAAAATATGAATTCTATACAAAGAGATCCAGCCCTCCACGTGTGGGCAGATACAAGCCTCTGTGCAACCAGCTGGTACAACTGGCATAAAATATCTGCAGAGAACACTAGTGGCCGGAATTGTCGGCAGGCCAAAAGCCCTGGCCGGCAACCCTCATAGATGGCCGGCAGGCCACCAAAGACTTTAGGGGAGAGAGGCTAAGACATGGTCCAAAAAGGAGACAAAAAGGATATAAGGTTTGGAAGGCTTAAACCTGTGGCGTTTCATTAAGGACTTTGAGCGCTCGGCGAGCAACTAGACTCGTCATTGGATGTACCTGCAAGAATATCCAAGTCTTGAAGGGTCGTCAAAAATAGGGTGTCCATACACTGTCACTGTCACACACACACCCACCGCCCCATACCCACCATTACAACCATCTCTACCTTATCACGAATGCCACCATTACCATCAAACCACTACCACCACCACCACTATTGGTAGGACCAACTCTGGGTAAAAGCCAACAAAGCAATCTCTTTGGGCTCCAAAAAGATAGCCTAAAATTACGGTCCCAAATATTTGTATCACTTATACATGGTCCAAAATTAAAATACGACTAGAAAGGGCAAAACTACAAACAAAAGGGTCCAAACATTAAAATATGACTTAGAAAAGCACAAACTAAAGGCAAAAGAGGCCAAACCAAACAAAGGCCAAAACTTTTCTTCCTCTTAGCAACTGAAAGAAATAAGAGAGGGCCCACTATCAAATACATTTGCATATTCTATTTTTGATCAAAATAAATTATTTTTGGTATTACTGCTTTATGTTTTGTTTTACTTTTAACTTTTTGTAAATTGAATTTTGCTAAATAATAAAGCAACAAAATTACATTTTATTTTTTTCAATCTTTGTAATGATTTTTTTATATTTTAGTAATTATATTCAACAAGTTTTCTGTGGATACTAGAAAAATAAAAAAATTGTGAATATTTACTATTTCATTAACATTTTTTTTGGAAGTGAGATATCAAGGGTCTCAATTTAATGTTCGCTTTAGGCCCCGAAAGATTCAGGGCCGGCCTAGATCGCTGCCACCACCATTGTTGCCACACCACTACCACCACTATCACCCCCAATACTTCCATTTTCACTCCACCCTATCGTTGTCACTACTGCCGCTACTAATACAACCATTAGTACATTAATTTCAAGAATCCAACCAAGCATAAGAAAACATTTTCTAAAGAAAAAAAAAATCTACAAAGCATGTTTTTTAAAAAATATTTTTTGTCGAAACAAACGAAGCTTTATTTTCTCTTTCAATTTTTATATTGTAGTGGCGATGGTAGATATGGCGAAAATGTCATTTGTCTTATATGATCTTGATGAGCTAAATCATCACATACAATAATTTTTTTAAACTCAATGCCAATAACAAACAATAATTCTCAAACAACACATCCCAAATCAAAACAATATATTGAAATAGAAAGAAGACATTTATTGCGAACTAGTCTCTAATTATCCTAACGTCTAGGAGGGAGAAGCACTTGCATAATCATTTTCTCTAGATTCAAGAATGACGAAGCGGATGAACTCATAGTGGCCTCTTCAGCTATTTTCCTCCACTCCATGACTCTTTTCTTCATCTCCTTGCCCTTGTGTCCATACATCAACTCCCTCACAAGCCTCTCAACTACATCTCTCTTAACATCATTGTCCATCTCTACTCCAATTCCCCATTGAGTGCAGCTATACCAACAGTTGGTTTGTTGATCTCCGAAATATGGCCAACATATCATTGGCACTCCGCTTGAAATGCTTTCAATAGTTGAGTTCCACCCACAGTGAGTTAAAAACCCTCCAATAGACGGATGGGCAAGAACTTGCTCTTGTGGACACCAACTTGCAAGTAGGCCTCTTTCTTTGGTCTCTATCACAAACTCTGGTGGAATAATAGCCAAGTCGCCGGCTACAAGATCAGGCCTTACTATCCATAAAAAGGTCTGGTTACTATTAGCAAGTCCCCAAGCAAACTCAATTAACTGGTTTGATGTCATTACAGTGATGCTTCCATAATAGTAAGGGTATTTTTATACTTCTGAATTTCTCTCGATGCATCTCATCTTCCTGTACTTTTAATTTCATGCTGTTAAATGAAATTTTTCTTTGCCGATCAAAAAAAACAGTGATGCTTCCATAATTTACATAAACAACAGAGTTAGGTTCTTTGGAGTTGAGCCATTCTAGGCACCCAGGAACTTCTTTCCAGAGATTTGATCCTATTGACTTTAAACTGTCATCCTTGACCTGATTCAGGAGTAATTGTAAAGGTCCAATGGTGTAAACTGGAGGAAATGTGGATGAAAGTGCATACAAAACTTCATGTTCCAATTTCTCGAATGTGTTAAAAATAATTGCAGAAGATTTGAGAGTTTTCTCATTTATCTCCAACGCAAATTTAATCATAAAATCACTAAGATTAACGCTGTGAATAATACTTGGGATATCCTTCAAGCGTATACCTTGCATACTGGGTATCCAATCTATAACTGTATTCAAATACTCATTTGTGATAGAACTTGGGTCTGCAAATCACAATAATGATAATATCAATTATATATCAAAAACATAAAATAAAAGGTTCAATACCTTAGTTATATTATCTACGATGCTCTCCATTACATAGTTGTAATGCAGGATCTCTACTGTATCATCTAAATATAGTGAAAAATCCACTTCACATGAATAGTTGGAATTTATTTATTTTTTTAACTAATTTGGAATGTAAATAAATTCACATGATTATTTTATAACTCTTGAATAATATAACGAAGAAGATCTCAATCTAATTCTCTCTCTCTCTCTCTCTCTCTCTCTAAAAACCTCCTTTCCCGGCCTCTTTTTGGGTCGGCCGGCCGTCGCCTTTGGCTATGGCGGTCAGCTGGCCTAGCTCCTTCCGGCCTCTTTTTGGCCTAGCTCTTTCCTCTGTTAGTTTCTTTCTTTCAATAAACGTGAGTTCCCCATTTTTCCCACCTAGGTGTTCGGCGTTGCTGCGGTAGAGTTTTTTTGGTGGTGTGTCAGGGACCGTTACAGCTGATTCATCAGGGGTCGTCCAGGATCTTCATTCGAGCACTCTCTTGCAAGTAGGAGCTTGAGGGGTGAATTTTGGTTCAGATTGGTGGAGTAGTTTTGATGCTCTGTTTGGGCGGAAACATGGGTGTCGTTGGCGATCCAGTTCTGTCTGGTTTTCACTCGAGCGCTCCTCTTCGAGTGAAAGTTTGAGGGGTGAACTTCTTCCATTGTTTTGGAGGTGTCCCAGAGGGTGGTCGGTGTTCGGTGGGTGTGTGGTTCCGTGGGGTGAGTAAGGTGAAGAACTGCTGGTTTTCAAAGTTATCCTTTCAGCCTCAGCCGAGGTAGCGCTTTTGGTCGGTGAGGAGTTCTGGAAATACTATCACTACCACTGGAGAGGAGTTCGGCATTGCAGCAAATGTTGGAGCTGCGCTGTCAAGTTTAGCAGCGGAGTTGCAGCAGCGGGGTTGGTGTTTTCTGGTGTTGGCTTTGGTGTTGTTCTTGGTCGGAATAGCAGCATAGGTGTGGGATTGGGTGTGGCAGCAGCATAGGCGTATGTGTGGGCAGATTAGCAGGGGAGTTGCAGCGGCTTGGTTGGTGGTTTCCGGTGTTGGCTTTGGTGGTGTTGTAGCAGCATAGGTGAGGGCCTGGGGAGTTGTAGCTGAAGCATAGGCGTGGTTGGTGTGGGCTGAGGTGAGGTGTAGCAGCGTAGGTGTGGGCTGCAGCAGAGGCGTGGTGTGTGCTTAGGGAGTTGTAGCAGCATATGTGTTAGGTGATTTTTGGGTTGATCAGTGGTGTTTGGTGGGTTGATTTTGTGGGGATTTATGTATTTTTAATTTTCTAGTTAAGTTCTTCTTAACTTTTATGTTTTAAAACAAAAAAATCGTGAGGTCAAGGGGTTGGTTGTATGGGTGCGAGTAACAGTAGTATGAGTATTTTTATACTTTCCGAATCTCTCTCGATGCATGTCATCTTCCTGTACTTGTAATTTCATGTTGTTAATGAAATTTTTCTTTGCTGATAAAAAAAAAGAAGATCTCAATCTAATTAATATATGTAATAGAGATGATCTCAATCTGGATATAATAAAATATGTGCATCATTCTTGCTTGAGAAAAGTTAGGAATCATGAAATTTTTTTTATGAAAATGATCATGAAAGATTTATGAATTTTGGATTACCTTGATTAGTGTGTGGTGCTTTATTCTAAGCGTAATCCAAGAGTCACAAAACTTTCATGATTATTTTCATGAATTTTTTTTTCATGATATCTAGCATTACTGTTCTTGCTTATATACAATGATGAACTTAGAGGAAGATATGGATATGATTAGTTCGAGTAACGAAACAAATTAACTTCGATCGATTCCAAGTATTTTGATCCAGTATCAAACCAACTATTCCTTAAAACCAAACAACCGAAGTAAACTACAAATGGTTTGAGTTTCCACTTTGATTCAAAAAAATTATGAACATTCATCATAAGTCAGAATTTAAAATTATTATTATTATTAGTAATGTCACATGAGTGTAGCAATTTTATCATAAAAAATTGTCACAACCAATTATTTGTCGTATGGGAGTTGTTTGCTCGTCTCTATTATGGCTGGGAGAAAATTGTGTTAGAGAAAATTTGTGTGACTTTGTGTGGCTCTATCCAAAGAAAATTGTGTAGAGAAAATTTGTGTGGTCTTATGTGGCTCTATCTAGAGAAAATTGTATAGAGAAAATTTGTGTTTTTGATCAAACCAGACAAAATTGATTAAAAGACACAAAAAAAAAAAAAAAAAAAAAAAAAAAAAAATTATAAGCTCAACCATCAACTGAAATTACACCTAACCTTACTAAACAATAACCACAACGAAATCACCAATAGAAGTATCCAGATTTGCCCATTACGGGCCCACCGTGGATCAACAAAACTTGATCTATTTTTGTTGATTTGAATCGCTAAACCTTTTGGATATATCATTCATACAAAAACTAAGTTGAAAAAATATGAGTAGGTATATGTTTGGATCATATTATTATTATTATTATTTTTAATAAAAAATATAGATAATCTATTTTTTAAATTATACAAAAATATATTGAATTTTTGTATTAAATGAATTTTGAAAAGTTTTTTGCACAATTTTTATAATAATTAAGAATATCTAAATTAAGTAAATCTAAAAAATTTTACAAAAAATAATTAAAATATTAACAAAAATCACTAAAAATAATAAAATGCGGATTGAAAACTTATAATAAACTGTTTTTGAAAATTCTAAACTAAACAAAGTGAGTAGTTTAAATAAACTGTTTTTGAAAATTCTAAACTAAACAAAGTGAGTAGTTTAAATAAACATTGTGAACCTAAAATAGGCCATAATACTAATAGGCTACACTAAACCCACCAGTTTAGTCTACCAACATTAGTGTATAAAATTTTAAATTACATATTAAACCCGTAAATAAGAATTCTACCTCCAAGAACTTTGAAAATACACATATGTATTGGAGTATATGAAAACAAACATGTACCTTTGACTGGTAAGAAACCCTTTTCGATAAGATTCCGGTATTGGAGCATGCCCATGAAGCCACAAGCACCGGCTGACCAGAAAAAAACATGGGGGATGCCAAGTTCTTCAGCAACTGCGAGTGTGAAGCACATGATCGCATCAGAGACAATGCAAGTGACCTGTGGTACATTCGATGTAGCAGTGTTATTGAGTTTGTAGATAAGGTCTTTAAAAGGAGCTAAGCAGTGTTTGCTGGTGGCTTCCAACAGGGAGGGAATCTCTTGGGTGGCATCGGCGTCGGATTCTGGGAGGCCGTCAGGTATGGCCTCAAAGCGGAAGGAGGGGAGGCCGTTGAGCGAGTCGGGGCCTCGGGATTTGAGGAGGCGTTTGTGGTTGAACTCTGTGTTGACAAAGGTAATGTGGAAGCCTCTGTTATGGAGGAGTTTTGCTAGTTTTAGCATGGGATTAATGTGACCTTGAACTGGGAATGGTATGCACACTGCATGTGGCTTCTCTAACATGGCTCTAGAATCCATGCTTTCTCTCTCTCCCTCTATCTCTCTCTCTCTCTCTCTCTCTATGGTGGGATTGATGCTTATGGTAAAGAGTATGAAAACTGTTTTATAGTCCGGCAGTCAATATCTCTCTGTAGCTAGTCTTAGCCTTCTCTGTTTGAAGGTGAACAAAACAAAATTGAGACGATCAAACCAATGTTCTGAAATTCGGCTGTTACTTATTTAGGGAAAATTAAATTTTAATGTAGTGTCAAAAAAATAAGAGCTAATTATATTAAATCCCCTTAAATTATTGATCATTTATATTTTATTCTCCTAATGTTTTAAACCTAACAATTATCCCCTCCAATTATTTAAATTTGAACATTAAGTCATTTTTGTCGTTATTTGGATGAAAAATTATAAAGTGTTATACATGATGATTATATTAAATTTTACGATCAAATTACCCTATTTTATCTTTGATAAAAATTTAATATAATCATCATGTGCACAACACTTAACAAATTTTTATCTAAATATTTAACAGATAACTAACCGAATGACTTAATGTTCAAATTCAAATAGTTTGAGGGGAGTGATTGTTGAGTTTAAAACATTAGGGGGTAAAGTGTAAATGGTTGATAGTTTAAGGGGGTTTAATATAATTTGTTCAAAAATAGTTATAAATTATTGAAAATTTTATAATTTTCATTATTAATATTGATAAAAATGTTCACTGATTTATAATTATTTTTCTGACATTACATTGATATGTAATATCCCCGTTTATTTAAGGATCATTAGTTCAATGGTATGAGTATTAGAATCAAATTGAGATACTATAATTATCTCATAAATATATTTAAAAATTAAAATATATTCTTTTAAATTATCTTTATTTTTATATATTTTCATATATATATATATATATAAATTTCTTTCTCGAATGTGTTTAAACATTTAAACATTTATATTAATTATTAGGATTTTAAATATCAGTCATTACATATTGGGATTTAGATTTCTGGTAATAGTTTCTTCGTAGTCTACAAAAATGGACTGCACTGTGCAGTTTGCTCACTATGGGTCCACTTTGATAATTCAAATCGTTTATCCTATCAAACTTGTCAAGTAGATCATCCTTACCAAAAATTAAGTTAATTGAATAATCCACGCAATCTTCCAACTTGTTATTTATTTATTAAAGTTGTGGGATTCAATACATTTTTTTAAAAATTGTAGAGAATAATTAGTGTCAAATGATAAGTGAGTGTGGAGTAATACTTTAAAATCATCAAATAATTACTTGTGGTAAAAGTACATATGATACACACCCTATCAAATTTTTTTATTTTGGTAGCAATTTAATTAGAGTATTGCTATTCAAGTTTAAAAATTCAACCCACTTTTCAAATCCAATTATATGTAAAGTAGCGCACTCTCATAATTATTAATCAATCATATATCACTTATATCTCATTAGATCTAAAAAAATGAGTTGAAAAAATGGACATATATTATTTTGCATGTAAGAAAAAGTGCACCCGAAAGAGAATGGTAAGGATTGGTTAGCCGTCCAACAAGGCATGCAAACAAGAAATGCCATTAGCTAAAAATGAAAGGTTATTTTGCTAGTAATATACAAATACTTTTTTCCTTGCATAAATTTTTGTTTCTCTCTTTTTTTGATAAATTGATGTGATATGTAATAGCAAAATATTGATATTAATATTTAAAATGAATTTTACCCTTATCAGGCGTCCTGAATGGACAATACATATACATAAATATTGATACAAACGAGCAAGGATTAGATTCCATCCCCAACTTCCTTTGTCTGCCGTCCTGGCTTCGGCTTCCATCATACCAAAAAATATATATATATACGTATATTTCACTCCCAACATGTTTTATAAATCTTATATATTTATACACAACTAGCACCAAAAACAAAAATACACACTACAAGAATTTACATAATTGCCGACCACTTTTACCGACTAAAAAAATTTTTGTAGCAAAAAATTGACATTTGCCGACTAAAATTAAATTTCGTAGCTAAAAATTGATACTATTACCGACTAAAATTTTTGGTCGCAAATAAGTAATTTTTTGCGACCAAATTACACTAATTGTCGCAAAAAATATGGGCGGGAGAATGAAATTAAAAAGGGAGCTGTGTATGCTATTTTAGCAACTAGTATGTTTTGGTCACTGATACCAAAACGACGTCATTTTGGTATCAAAATTCATTACCCGACCATCAGTTTGGTAGGGGATAACTTTACTAATTCAAACACATATGCAATATTCCTACGTGTCTCTTTCACACCTCAGTCGAATTCGATCGAAGCCTAGTCGCACCAATCACCTCACCTTACCATCCACCTCACCGTTCGCCGTCAGTGCCTCTTCACCGTCTGCGCCTCTGTCCCTCTTCGCCATTTCTGTTTCGTCTTGGGGATTTCTGATTCATCTAGGTATTTTTTCTACTTATAATAGTTTCTCTCTGTTTATATCTCCGTGTCTCACTTTTTTCTTTTTGATTTGTCATACTCGTCTTGTTCTAAATGTCTCACCCACCAGGGCCCTCACCATCGCAATTTTTCGGAGCAAGATAGATAAGGGTGGTTGTCGGCTAGGGTAGAAGAATGAGGGGCTATCGAGTGGCTGGGGAGGGAGAAGGGTGGCTGTCGGTGAGAAGGGCTGCCGAAATAGAGAGAGGGTGGTGGGTGGCTAGGGTTTGGTGGCTCGTGGCTAGGGTTTGGTGGCTCTGATACCAAAAATAATAGAGAATTATTTGGCTTACTTTAGAATGAGGTAGAGGCCATGTATCCATAACATATGCATGATACAATTTTAGGAAACAATATAAACAAGAAGAGAGATTCCTACAATCAATATAAAAATATTCTAATTGCTATTCTAAACATAATATTCTAGTTTCTATATTCAACAAATATCTAGATTGCTAATACTTGGTTTGGGGTAACAGTTGGCCGAAACAATTGATTATGCACCTATGATAAAATAAAATAAAAAACAATAGTTTGATTCAGTTGAAGAAATTATTATTTTGAGAAGTAGATGCGGACAGAGTGGAGATTGGTGGCCTTCCCTTCCCGCCTGGCACCAAAAAAAAAACAAAAAAGAAGAAAGAAGAAAAAAAATACCAATTTGCTTTCCCTTTGATTGGAGGAGGCTAAAATTAGGATTTTAAATTATACCATTCTACAATGTCAAATTTGTGATGTGCAAACTGGATTGACTAAGGCATTAGGTGTGACCCATGAAATTGTTTTGACATGTTGAACACAGAAGGGTTGTTTGATCTTTCTCAGAGCGTGTCTAAACATTTTTTGGTTTACTAGTTGGCCAATTCATATTGTATTTTTTGGTGGAGAGGTTTATGATCACTTTTTGCATTTTCATAGAATATCACATGTCACCTTAATTCTCTCTGTTCTTCAATACTTGTGAAGAATTACTGCATATGCTGGCCAATTGGTTTGTCTTTCCTTTTCCTTTCTCCCCTTCATTTGCTTCTATTAACGATTACTTCTCCTCTTCTCACTCTTCTACATTTGTTCCTTCATCCTTAAAGTTCTTCTATTTCTTTATTAAACATGTATAAACAAAGGTTTTATGAAATAAAGTTAACTGTTACAAAAACTTTGGGATATGGGCTCTTTTTCTCCTCCTTTTTAACTCATAGGTTATTGTGATTTGGACAGGGATGTCAACTTTAACAGGTTAGTCGGAGAAATTCCAAATGACATAAATGGGAAGAATTTGAGATTCGTGTAAGTATGAAACCAAAAGTTTAGGATGTATTTGGTTCTGTTGAAAATAGTACTTGAGTGAAATTTTTCCCCACGAATTTGAGAGTTGTGTGGGCTGCTATATATCACCTATTTTTTTCATTCTTTTATTACACACAGAGTATATAGCAAGATATCATTTGCATTCATTAATTTCTTAATAATTATCTTCAAACTTGGAAACTTATCATGAGAATCCATGTAGACTATAATACAAAATGGCGACAAAAACCGGTGATATATAGCATTTCTCAAAAGTTGTTAACAACAAGGTGAAGTGTTTCTGTAGAAAAATATTCTTTTACATTTAAATTTGTCTTAAGGTGCCAACAATTTTTATGTTACTAATTTCTTTTGATCCGAAATTGCTAATCTATTGGATTATTTCGTTGTTATCATACCCCATTTTATAGTATATTAACTATATGGCATTGTTTTGAATAGGTTTTTGAGTGGCAACATGCCAAGTGGAAATGTACCAGATTCAATCTTGAAGGATGGACTTAGTATGTATGTTTTTATCTTGAGTGCTTATTTTCAGAAATTTGTATTTGCGTGCATGTTTGTTGTTCATCAAGTTGAGTCGGAAATTATTGTAAATTTTAATCTTTATGGTCTTGTTGGGAAAAATTAGTAGTTGAAATATAGAAGTAACCAAATTAATTAACTATATTTGGTATTAGAAAGAAAAATTTTTCCAGTAGATTCATCATTCACAATGCATTCTCCCAACTGATGTTCACAAAAGAAAGTTGTATCAGCTGTACACTCTATCTAGAAGTCTTTTTTTTTTCCTGAATCTGTAAGTACTTAGTGTTCTTTCTGACTTCCTCTCTGCAGTTATGGCCTGCTTGCATTAACTCATCTTGTGTAAGTGGCTCAAAGGGTTCTGTTTTGCATATTAAACCATTTCAATAGTAAATCATTATTGGGCAAGGCTTTTCTCGGCTTCTGATCTCAGGCTTTATAATTTCCACAAATCCATTCAATACTATTGACTAAGTTGTGCATGTTACATGAGTGGTTGCATTATGTTGTGCCTCACAATCAATAGCCCATCGTACTTTTACGCATAAAAAGTTCCTTCCTTGGAAGCAAAACTGTATATCAGCCCTGCTGCCACTTCTTATTCTATTGACTTAAGAAGTACAGACATGGACGCGCGATATCAAACGGACAGGCCGACACAAAAACTTTCAAAAAATTTAGGACGCAACACGTGGAGTGTAATTTTATATATTTATTATATGTCATATATATGAATATTTAA